CCTGGAGATTAAGAAACTTGCTCCAAATCAATCTGAATCACATTAAGGCAATCATAACAAAAAATGTCTCTTGACACCAAATCTCTTACCCATGTATCTCACTAAAAAGACATTCCATTGGTCAAGCACTGCATTTTTCCCTTCTCAGCTTTCTTAATAAATATGCTGCAATTCCAATTCAACAGACCACTTTTCTTATGTCTGTCCAGAAACCTCATTAGAATAAAAGAAAAAAAGGCTTTCAAATACTATAAACATTTAAACAGGAAGATAAAAGGGCCACGAGATAATGAAAGATTCCAAGAAACTCTTACGAAGCGAAATGCATGGAAGAGTATTGTCACAAGAAACAGAAAGAATGAAGCTACAACCTGTAATAATAGTCAAGAGGTTTGCTTGGCTTCTGCAGATTGGGAGGCTTCAGACTTAGAGAAGGCAGGAACAACGGTGAAGGGCAGTCAAAGAGGGTTTGAAACTAAAAGGGTGATTTGAAGTGTTGAAGAATTAGAAGAGTCAACTCTGCCGCCAGCCCCACAGCATGGGTAGTTATTTACCCGCCATGCAAAGGAAGACAAGGTTCCCTCCTAAAGAAATTGAACAAACTGAGAATTACAGTAGCTGCTATGGAGGAGCAAACTCCTCCTATGTTATTTGTGGGACCACACTTAAGATCCGGCTGTCCACCAGGCAAACTGAAACGAAATGTGCCAGTCAACAAGCCTGTCCATACACGCAAAGCACCCAGACAGCCTTCCTCAACTCTTAAATAAAGAACTGTCTGGGAATCATCAGATGGTTTAGGAAAGACTACAGTACAAGAGCAAAGAATAAAATGAACCCCTAAAAATCTAGCATTGGAGGCAACTGAAATAACTTATGTAAAAACAAAACAAAAACCAACTACAATGTATCTAGAGAGATTTGAGAAGATACTGCATCCATTGTATAACAGGTTACAGAAAAACATATTACACAAAAGAGTGATGGTAAATGGCCAATAAATAAGAGAAGATAAACAATCTCATTAATAATCAAGAAATTATTAAAATCACATGACAATTTATATCTACCAGATAGTAAAAATTAAGAAACCTGGTAACGCATATTAGGGGGATGTGGAAAACTAGGACGTCTCATTTACTGTAACTGGGAGTGTAAATTGGTACATTCACTTCGGAAAACAGTTTGACACTATCTTGCTATCACATTCCTGCATAAAACGCTACACGTACACAGCGGGATTGGTAAAGATCAAGGCAGTACTGCTTCAAATGTCTCCAAACTGGAGATAACGTAAGTGTCCAATAGCAGATGAATAATTAAGTAAGTTGTTGTACACTGACCTGATGGAAGAGTACACAGGATGGCAAATGATAGGAAAATTTAGCAGCATAAATGCACCTTAGAAATATAATGTTGAATAAAAGAAAAAGTCACACAAAAGTTATACCAATTTTCATAAAACCCCAAAACAAGAAAAATGAAATAAATAATTCTAGAATACTTACATATATGGTAAGAA